AGCCAAGCATTGGAACCAGCCTAAATGCCCATCAACAGATGAGTAGATAAGGAAAATGTGGTATGTTTAAACAATGGAATGTAAAAAAGAATTGGATGTAAAAATGAATGAAATACTTACTGCCAGTCACAGCAACATGGATGGGCTTAGAGAAAATTATATTAAGTGAAATAAGCCTGGCACAGAAAGAGAGATAGAAATACTGCATGTTCTCACTTTTATGTGTGAGCTCATAAAAATAAATTAATAACTAAACATAGAAACAAACAAACTGGTGGGGGGGGGCAGGAAGAAGACACAACAATCACGATAATTCCTTGAACTTGTTAAGTGAACAGATATGATGTTGATGGGGGTTGAGGGGAAAGGAGGACTTGGTAAAGGGATGCAAATCAACTGCATTTTATATTGATAAATTAAAGTTAAAAAATAAATAATAACTCTAAATGTAAACAGATGATTAAATGCCCAAATTAAAAGATATGGAGTGTCTCAATGTATTATAGAATAAGAACCAACAATGTTCTGTCTACAAGAAACTCTCTTCACCTATAAAGACACACTATCTGAAAGCAAAGTGTTGTGGGGTTAGGGGATGATACTAGGGGTATATGTGAACTTTCTGTACTTTCTGCTGTTTTTCCGTGAACCTAAAACTGTTCTAAAAAATAGTTTATTAATTTTTGGGCTGGCCTGGTGGCGCACTGGAGAGTGCGCCGCTTGGGAGTGTGGCAGCGCTCCCGCCGAGGGTTCGGATCCCATATGAAGACCAGTTCCCACTCACTGGCTGAGTGCGGTGCGGGCACAACACCAAGGGTTGCGATCCCGTTGCTGGTCCCTGGTACGGGCGCGACACCGAGGGTTGCGATCCCGTTACTGGTCAGTAAAAAAGACAAAAAGAAAAAAAAATAGTTTATTAATTTTTAAAATGTGAAAGAAACAGCAGAAAGTGAAAATTTAATAATTACTAAGTTTTACATGTGTTTAAAGATTTTTCTATAATTATGTTTCTTTTCCAAATAGGTTATACAGAAATTCGAAAACATTTTTGCTTATACACAAATGTTATAAATAGTAATCATATCACCAGCATAATTTACAGAAGCCTATTTAAGTCATGTTTAGGTTGAAATAATATATTTTTTCAGTGAAGAAGGACTCTGTACTATAATGATACTAATTGTGGGGGTGGGGGGAGCTTTTATTTATCCTGAATGCTAGTGCCTGAGGAAATACAGGTGAAATTAGAGGAGGAATAAAGAAGATTTCTGTATTAGTTTGTTCATATTTGTAAGCACTCAAAGATTAATAGCACTATTTCTTTATCATGCCAATTTGCACTTGAAATTATTTATCTATTTTTGTAAATCTATCACCAGTTTTGGTCAGTAATGGAATTTATTGGGGTGAAGACACAAAGAATTGGGGGAAAAAGAGGAGAGAAAAAAGGAAAGAAAGCAAATCTTTCTAGAAGTGGAAATATGAAATATAAAAAATAAAAAGAAAGTAGTTTTATAAATAAATATGTGTCAGTTGTCCATTGGAGAAAACATAACTGATTAGAATTTACTAATTGTTCATATTCATGAAGTCTGTGCCCAGCCCTATTTGCTGAAGGGTTTCTCCTATGTTTTCTTTAATAAGTTTTATTGTTTCGGGGTGTATATTTAAATCCTTGATCCATTTTGAGTTGATTTTAGTACATGGTGAGAGGTATGGGTCTAGTTTCAATCTCCGGCAAATGGATAACCAGTTATCCCAGCACCCTTTGCTGAAGAGAGAGTCCAGACCCCAGTGAATAGGCTTGATGCCTTTGTCGAAGATCAAATGGCAGTAAGTGCGTGGGTTGATTTCAGGGTGCTCTATTCTATTCCATTGATCAGAGTCTCTGTTATTATACCAATACCATGCTGTTTTGGTTATTATAGCTTTGTAGTATAGTTTAAAGTCAGGTAGAGTAATACCTCCAGCTTTATTTTTTTTGCTCAGCGTTGCTTTGGCTATTCGTGGTCTTTTGTTATTCCAGATAAATAACTGTATAGTTCTTTCCATTTCTGTGAGAAATGTCATAGGAATTTTGATGGGGATTGCATTAAATTTGTATATCACTTTGGG